CCTTCTTCCTTCCGCCAGCCCCAGCCCCCCATCTACCACTTCTACAGCCACATTGTTTCCAATGACAGCACGGTGATCGTGAAGAACCAGCCCGTGAACTACTCGTTTTCCTGCACCTACCACTCCACCTACTTGGTGAACCAGGCTGCCTTTGACCAGAGGTAAGTTTCTCAGAGTGGGGGGCTGGCCGCCTTGCGTGTGCTCTGCAGTCCTTGTCAATCAGGCATGTTTCAGTCCTTATGCAAAATTCTCTCCCCTTTTCAGAGTGGCCACTGTTCACGTGAAGAACGGGAGCATGGGCACATTTGAAAGCCAATTGTCTCTCAACTTCTACACTGTAAGTGGTCTCCAGGTTCCCATGACTGCCCTGTGGCCTCTTGAGGAGAGGATGGGATCCTTCCTTGGGATTCACTCTTCCCTAAGCTCTATGCAGAACTCCATTCTTATATTCAAGCTGAGATGTAAGCTTTGGTCTACCTTTAAACCTCTTTAAAACCTACATGCAGCTGGAAGGCAGAGTCCTAGACTGGATGGAAGAGCTGAGAGGTACCACAGAGAAAAGAGGTCAGTCAGCCTTCCCATTTCATAGATAAGAAAATTAAGGCAAGAGAAATCCTGTGTGTTGCCAAGGGTCAATAGACAGCAAAACAGCCAATGTCTAACTCTTAATCAAAATTAGTTTCCACTGCAGCCCACTCTAGAGATTTATATTTAGGATCTATCTTGTGTTAAAACATTCACACAGAGTAGTGAGCTTCTTGCCTGGGCCATGGCTAAGGAGAGAGGTGGGATTGGCCTCTGCAGCCTAGTTCTTAGGCCTCAAAGCCCTTCACTCCATGGGCTTCCTCATTGACTAATTTGGGCAGGCTTCCTATGTTGACATTGAAGTTAAAGGCACAATTTGATCTCTCTTGAAATACGTGCTCCAGAGAAACTAAAAACACAATGGCCACTAGCCCTGTGGCACTTCTGTTACGAAGGGGTGCTTTGTTTTGAAACCTGCAGCTTTCAGGGAGGAGGTAGATATAGATAGAGTTGCCAAGGGTCTATAGACAGCAAAAAAGCCAATGTCTAACTCAATCAAGATTAGTTTCCACTGCAGCCCACTCTAGAGATTTATATTTAGGATCTAGCTTGTGTTAAAACATTTGCACAGAGTAGTGAGCTTCTTGCCTGGGCCATGGCTAAGGAGAGAGGTGGGATTGGCCTCTGCAGCCTAGTTCTTAGGCCTCAAAGCCCTTCACTCCATGGGCTTCCTCATTGACTAATTTGGGCAGGCTTCCTATGTTGACATTGAAGTTAAAGGCACAATTTGATCTCTCTTGAAATACGTGCTCCAGAGAAACTAAAAACACAATGGCCACTAGCCCTGTGGCACTTCTGTTACGAAGGGGTGCTTTGTTTTGAAACCTGCAGCTTTCAGGGAGGAGGTAGATATAGATAGTGACACTAGCCCAGTGGGCTAGAGGAAGACACAAGCAGAAATAGAGATCTTTATAAAGAACTAGAAGATATCCTTAGAGGCCATCATGCTCAACCCATTCATTTCACAAAGAAAACAACTATATTACCTAGAACCCCCCTGACCTTGAACTCTTTGAACTTGCTTTACTGACTCCCTGGAAGCTATTAACCCCCCAGAGGTAGTTCAGAGCAGTGCCCACAGTCTGGGACAGATCTTCTAACCCTGTTCTTTGAGGCAGATTGACTATGAAGGGAATGAAGCTGAAGTTTTACCACCCCTCACTTACACAGACCCCTTTCAAGGCCTTGTGTCTAATTTTTGTATTGAAATTTTTGATCCTTTTTTAA